GAAAGTATAAGCAGATGTTCAACCTAGTTTCTCTGGCACAAGAAAATGTGAGTGTCCGTTAGGGTTAGGGTAAGCCAGATGACTGAATAACATATAACAATTCAAAAATCCCTGACAACGGCGCCAAAAACTTGATAACTTTTTGGCAAGTATACCAAATCGTTTCAAGTAATACAGTGAATAAGTAAAAGAGTATCATTCTCCCAAGGGAATTTGAGTTACGTTATTCAATTATAATTGTTTATCAAGATCAATTACTGATGAAAACATTTAGGATTTCAATTTGGAATTAAACATGAAATTAACAACGTAAAAAAATTAAGATTAAAAATTGCGATAAAAGATCACTGGAATTGGTCTTTGACTAACATTACAGTAAGATCCTAGACAAAATATATTCTCTGTTCAAGCATTCACATGAGAGTATCTTGGTTTAATTCCTTAAAACAAGTTCTAAAATTATCTATTGAATTATTAATTCCTTAATTAATTCATCAGATAATTTTGCATTAAATTCAGATGTTGAGAATGACCAAAAGCACAGAAACTATTCCTAGCGTAGTTACTTTTAGTTTATTTTCTTACGTTTCTGGTTCTAAAAATACTTCCCAGTACAAAAGAACTTTTAAAGAGATTAATACTTCCGTATAATCAAAAGCAGTCAAGAAAAGAACAAGAACATAAACATATATTACACAGGAAATTTACATTAATGATTCGTCATAAAACCAATTCCAATGAACAAAAAATTTAGCCTATTCTAGACATCTCAAACATACTCTTTACAACAATTCCTTGCATAAAGTGAAGTCTTGATGTCTTGAAAGGTCTCCTGATCGTCTCCTAAATTCTCCAGTATTTTTCTGGCTATTTTCGTGTGTCAGAAGATAGTTTCTGCCTTTCTGTCACGTCTTTTAAAGCCACTTAACTTAATTAATTCGCTCAGCGCAAAGGTGTATGTGCGCTATGCGAATTTCTTGTAACTGTTGCCTCTCAACTGATGTTATTCGCACAGCGTACAAGTATTGGTGCGCTATGCGAATTCCCGTTTCCTGGCAGTGCGAGTTTTGGCTTGCGCTATGCGAGAATTGGCTGACAGACTCCCAACTATACATCATTTCCTGTACAATAATTTATAAAAACATTCTACTACCTGTTACAACATTTCACTGAGTAATAACATGAATAATTAGAAGATTGAGATCATTTATAAGTGTAAAAACAACTCTTTTTCACACTTATCACATCTCCTAGCTGCTCATATGTATGTGCAAGTGTTGCTGCTCCCCAAGCATATCTCGAACAAACATTCAAGTCTCGCAAGAGAAGGAGATACGATACTCGAATTAGAGTCGCACTCTTATTCGTAAAAAATGTGCATCCAAGCAGATGCAACAAGTATGCCCGAGCAGCACACTCCCAACGCTCCTGCTGGATGCACTCCTGGTAGACCTCGCGTAGCCAGCTGAGCCTAACTTTTGGACCACGTGACTGTTTCATCTCAGATGAAGCTTTAGAGTGGTCCACGCCAAGCAGCTCCATGATATGAGATCGAGCCTCATCATACTCTAACTCCTCAACCTCACAAAATTGTCCCATGATGGGTAGGTGGAGCAAATTCATAACGTCATCTAATGTGACACTCATCTCACCTATCGGTAGGTGGAAAGTATTAGTCTCTAGGTGCCACCTCTCCGAAAGGGCAACGATCAATCCATGATCGGCATACTCGTATGAGAGGTTCACTAAACAACCCAAACCCGACATGAAGATATAAGGCTCAATGGCCTCATGATACATTCCAAAATGCTTCAATTTTTTGCCATGGGTGACAACCTTTATCCCCCTTCGATCCTAAATAAAAACATAATTATATAAAAAAAATGTAACATTTATTAAACAATTAAAATTTAGGTTGATGACTAACCCAGCCTTGCCATATGGCAAATGCAACATGCTGGGTATAGTGGGTAAGTAAGGAGGTGTCATGTGGACCTCCTGGGAATCCACCATCTTCACCTTCATCTTCATCTTCATCTTCATCTTCATCTTCATCTTCATCTTCATCTTCATCTTCATCTTCATCTTCATCTTCACCTTCACCTTCACCTTCAGCTTCATGTTCTTCCTGACTAGAGTCATGCTGCTGCTGAATATCCTCCTCTTCAACGTAATCATCCTGACCATGTCCATGTTGTAATAACTCTTCCTGCTCCTCATAACCATGCTCATCAATAACGTCCACGCGATATTCTTGTACTCGTCTTCTACGAGCAGATGCCGTAGGTCGTCTTCTTTCATCACGTGATGAAGATGATGGCTCACCACGAGGGGATGAAGCCTCACCATGATAAGATAATGCACCTCTAGTTTTAACCATATCTATTAACCAATTATATTATTAACATATTATATACAAAAAAGTAATTAATTATGTAATAAAAAATATTCAAACAAATAATAAGTAATCAAATAATATAAAATTCTAAAAAAATTACATATATAATAATTAAATAATTACAAATAAATCTAAAATAATATTTAACAAAATTTACGGATAATAATTATTATTTAATTCAATAAACAATTTAATAATTATTTCAATTTCATAAAAAATTAAAAAATTTAAATAAAATTAAATACATAATAAATAATATATTACGAAAATAATAATATATTCAAAAATAACAAATTCAACAAAATTTAACAACCAAATAAAATAATTCAAAATATATTAAAAGAAAACATTTTATTTAACAACTAACATAAAAAATTAAATTTATTATACTAACCTAATAAAAATAAAACCAAATAAAATAAATATATACTAACCTAATAAAAAAAATTAAAAAACCTATAGAAATAAAAACCTAAAACGACATTTGAACTCCGGCAAGAACTAACGCACTTCCATGTGCGGTTAGTCTGAGTCGTCTCTGGAAGCTTTCCGCAGATCCAAATGCAGTTTCTCTGTCCACCTTTCCGCACTTCCAACTGCGGAAGTCTGTGACCGCAACTCCAACGACGTTTAAGCAGCCTGCTCTCCGGTGACCAACACAAACCGAATCTCCGGCAACCAACACGAAGCGAACACCCAACGAAGCACATGCATAGATTGTATGACAGCAAACAAAGCAGATGCATGAAGGGTACTAACGTGGACGCCAGAAACACCTGAGATTTGTGAGAAAAACAACCACGAAGGAGGAACGCAAACAAAGCTTGGAACAAGAGGGAGGGCGGAGACAAAATAACAGTGGTAGATGATACGGGAGAGAAGAATGGCAGAGGAGGAGGACGGAGACAAAAAGAGGGATGAGTGATTTAGAAAGGGGTGTAGGGTTTGAGTTTGAGATACGACAGAGTTAAAGTTTCAAAATTAGTCAACTTTTTAAAAATCCAAAATATTCTCGTTGACTGTGCTAAGGATATACTTGGAATTAAAATATATTTTAGAGATGCAAAACGAAGGCAGTGAGGTACAGGGAGAATCACTCTTTCTGAAATACTAAGACTTTCTTTTTCAAATGATGATAAGTTTTCTGAAATACTAAGACTTTTTTTTTCAAATGATGATAAGTTTAAGACGGGTAAAAATTATCAAAAGGAAATAAAATTATTAAGAATGTGGAAATATGAGGGCTATATTTTCCAATTTTTATTATTATGTCTTATTTTCTTTTTAGATATAATTTATTATTTATTATTTTATTTAATTTTATTTAGTATGTCAAAACGAGATGATCAAATATAGTATTTATTATACATGTATTAAAATATGTAATCATAAAAAAATAAATCATAAAGTTAAACATTTTTAGTGTTTATAAATTAACTGTGTATACAATAACATGGCATTTTTAACTTAGACGAAAAAGAATTAGCTAGTTTTTTCTATTGATCTTCTTTACTATATATTTTATATTGTGATTTAAAAAAATATTAAAGCTAAAATAAAAATGCAATTTATGTACAGGAAATAGAAATCTCATTATATTATAGATCTGTTAAAATATATTTTTATAATTTTTATATGATTTTCTTAAAAGAAATTTTAATTTCTGAATCACTAGATTTTTTGTCGGTAATATATATATATATATATATATATATATATATATATATATAATAATAATAATAATAATAATAATAATAAAGTGTTTGAGATATTTAATTTTTATGCACATATTTACAAGATTTTCCAAATATATGTATATAATAGGCCTTAAAGTTTGTATTTTAAGAAAAAGTATACGAATCAAGACTTTGATTTTTAGAATTTATAAAGTGAGTTAAATTTAATTAATGACAGAAACAAAGAAAAAAAAAATAATTTTAGTTATGTTTTTAATCTTGAAGTTTGAGATCAATTCAGTTTTAGCGTTTACAATAAAATATATAACTTTAGTGCTTTAAATTTTAAAATTATGATTTTAGCATTTCAAATCTATTATTAAAAGTTTAAAAATATTTTCTTAGGATTATTTCTTGTTCTTATATATAAAAGTACATTGAGTTACTCCTCTAACTGAAAAAAAAAAAATTATTCAACCAGTTTACAGAAAGTTTGTTAGGAATTAAGCAAAATTCAAATATTACCGTTATTTCTCTTTATGTGTAATAGTTGTTTTGATATTTCTTGTGTATATAAATTCTCATAATGTAGCTATCATATTAATGAGATGAGTGGCCTTCTTTCTTTTATTTTCTGGCTAGTATATATTTTTATAAAGTATTAGAGTTACAAATAATTCAAAGTTGGGCAAACTTTTTGAGACATGAGTATTGCATATTAGTGTTGTTATAAAGCCTGTGATACCTACACAAATAAGACCAAGAGTTGTGTGTGAAAGAGTAAGGGTGTGTTTCAAGATTGAGAGGGACACTCTCTTCTTGTGAACAAGAAAATAGCAAGACATCCCAAGTTGGTCAAGAAGGCAGGGCAGGATTCGATGGAATCATTAAGATGCTAGTCATTTTTGGATTTTACAATGTAGTTGAAGAAGAGAAATTATAACACAACAAAAGATGGATAGCAAAGCAAGATTCAATCATTTATCAATGTGTCAATGCAAAAATTTTCAACAAAATCTCGAATGCAAAAATTTTCAACAAAATCTCGAAGGTTGCTATTATCAAGGAGGTTTGGAAGATTTTGATAAAGACATAAATGGTGATAAAAACAAAAAGGTAAAACTTCAAACCTCATGTAAACAGTTTGAGTTTGAGTTTATGGTTATGGATGAAAATGAAGCTATATTACAATATTTTGATAAAATATAACAACATGTGAGTGCCACGAGGGCTTGCAAGGATAACATGATAAACCAACATGTTGTAGATGAAATTTTATGAACTTTACCTCTATTTGATCATGTAAGATGAAATTTTAAGAACTTCACCTCCGCTATTTGATCATGTGTTGGTTGTAATTTAGGAGACAAGAGATCTTAACGCCATGGAGGTGAAGAGTTACAACACTCACTCGAAGCACATGAGTTCCGCATAAATGAGTGGAGACATGTTCAAGAACAAGCTACTCTTCAAGTTGGAGGAAAATCAAAGAAGAACTTCAAGAAAGACTCCAAATCGAAAAAAAAGTATGAGTCAGAGGATACTACCAAGAACAAAGGACAAAAACAAGGTTACGGTGAAGAGAAAGAAAATAAGTTTGACAAGAAGAAAGTCAAGTGTTACAACTATCAAAGGTTTAGTCACTTTGTACGGGACTTTTGGGATGGAGAAAGTGCCAAAAGCATACCAAAAAGGCCATCACAAGCTCATCTGGCTCAAGAAGAAACTTTTGATTTTGAAGATGTTGATGGGTTACATAAGTGTTGGTATAGAGGATAACACTTCTTGGTACTTGGATTCAAGTATAATTGCACACCGATGATCTTTCATTATATAACAAAAACATGAATTCATTTTTCATGTATGTTTAGTAACATTTTTTAATCTTAAATGATTAATCATTTATAAATTCTCAATATCAATATTGTTACCAATAAGATGGATTGAAGCCTGGAGAGATTTTGATGATAATGCACTTACAGACTTGAATAACAAATTATATGACTCGAAGAGTTTATGTTAAAGTTTTTTGTTGTAGACTTCATTGTAATAGCTTTAGATTTTCAATTGTAACTTAAAAAAGTCTTGTATCTACTTTTTAGTATAGAATGCTTATGGTAATAATCGATTATCAGGATAATCGATTATCACGAGAAAATTAAGAAAACACTTTGGTTCAACAATAATCTATTATCATTCGGGATAATCAATTATCATCGAAAGCATGAATTATCAATGTTTACAAATAATCGATTATCACTTGGGATAATCGATTATCCTCGAAATGAAACTCTTTTTAACAACCTGAGATAATCGATTATCACTTGAGATAGTCGATTATCACTTGGGATAATTTTTTATCACTAACAGTTGAGAGCTGTCTGTTTAGATTTTGACATAGCTCAAACCTTGGGTTATAAATACTATGTTTTATAGTTCATAAAAACAACTTAAACTTTTGGAGAGTACATAGAATTATCTAAGTTGGAGGTGCTTTTCTACTAAGCAGAATCAAGTTTTTCATTCTTTTGTGTGTCAACGGAAAGTGTTGGTCATCTCTTATCTCTTAAGAGAGATGTTTTATAATTTTATTCTTGTTATCATTTTGTAAGTTTTGTTTACATTTAGTGGAAAAGTTAATCTCTCTTAAGAGAAATGTTTTATAATCTTATTCTTGTTCATATATAGAGAATCGACAATAGTGAAACTCACGAGTATAGAATTTATTGTTATGCTAAGTGAAAAAGAAAGCAATTCTATACACATTAAAACTATAGCTTTTGAGAGACATGAATAATTGAGCAAAGTAAGATCTAAGGATAATAGTTAATACATTAATCCTTCAAAATGTATGTAATTTTTTTTATATGATTTGACTGTGAGAGCCTTTATGTCATGATTTGTTAAAATTATATAGATATTATATAAATTGTTTATATGTTCTCTTTTTTATTTAAAATTTATAAGATTTAAATCCAGCTTATTTTTTAGGTTTTATTTGTGATGTTATTATCTATCTACAATAATTTTGTATTTCACGAAAATAGAAGATAATATGCACAGTGTATTAGTTTATTCATTTCTCTTTTTTAAGAGATAAGTTAATAAATTTATATTTAAAAGACTATATATTATACATTATCTTATAAACAAACTTTTGATTTAATTATGTACTCACTTTCCATATTATATATATATATATATATATATATAAATAACAATGATTATATCTATAATATCCATATTAGAAACTTAATATTTTACTATCAACATTAACATATCAATTAACTATATTTAAATCTTTAAAATTAATATATATCCTCGTTATATAATTTTGTTTTTTTTAATAACCAAACTAGCTGAAACTCATTCAACATAATCATCCCAATAAATATGACTTTTAACACTCTTTCAATTTTGTTCTTTAATTTTCCTAGTAACTTTTAGATGTAAAACTTAGAAAAATTTGTATCACTGATTTCTTTTCATGTAATCCCATACAAAACTTTATTTGAACTAGGTCGCATAAACCAATAATTGAGCTAGAACATTATTTCTTTTCCATTTAATCTCTTTTCTTTGCTCCATCAACAATGACATTTTTATTTTTCATCATAAATCTTTCACTTGGATCCAACCTCAGAAGAAGTAGATTGTCTACAAACTTTATGTTAAGATTCAAATGATTCTCAAAGTAAAAAAATTATTCCAATAACCTTCAATTTAGCATATCAATTTATGTAAACAAATTTTAGGAATTTTTGAAGTAAAAACTCCAATCCTTTAAAAATGTAAATCCAAATAGAAAATAAATAACAATAGATATGAATGGGGAAAAAATCATTGTAAAGATAAGACAAAAACTTGTAAAATAAATCATAAAGTTATTTGACCATTTTAAGGTATCAGGACAAAGTTGTTTCTGCAACCTGCAACCTAAAATAACAAATAATGAATTCCATATATAGATAAAATCTAAAGTAATTATACCATTATCTTATAATGATCCATTTATCATCTTTCAGGGAATGACATGTCCAATATATTCTTTACCACTTTCAACTACTTCACGTGCTTACATAATATCTTCATTGATCATTAAATTAATTAATTAATACCTCTTTGTGAATATTATTGATAAATAAGAAATTTATCTTTCTTTTCCAGGTCCTTTATAAAAGTATTAACAACTTCAAGATCTTTTCATTTTTGGATATCCTAGTATTGTATCTAATATATATATATATATATATATATATATATATATATATATATATATATATATTACCTCCATATTAATCTTATAACATTTTTATTTAATTAATTATACAATTATTCTCATCAATTGTTCAATTCAGTGGATTGACATTCTCACTTTTCTTATATAAATTTATCTATGACAAAATCACATTATATTGAAAAAAGGAATATGATAATATTACTTATTATTATTATTGTAACCATTACAGTTTATTGACAGAATTATTGCATTTATAATATGTATATTTTTAAAATATATAAATACTAAAATTTCACATCAATATGACAAAAAAATTTAATAATTTTGTATATTGAATTGTGGTTGAACAATTTATGACAATTTATTAAGAGAAGATATTGTGTTGGGTCTTCTCTTACATGAAATAAAAGTGAATACATAATATATGGGCTTTCAACAGTATTCTGTACATTTAAAAGTTATACTGGTACTGATATAAGTTTTTTTTTTTATAAATTCATATTTTTATTATCTCATAAATAGATTCATCAAAAAATTGAAATATGAAAATGAATATGTCTGTTTTAATTTAATGCTCGCAATCAGCAGTGAATTAAAAAGAAAAATTTGAACAGAAGTGACTTTGATTCACGGTAAGAGAGAGATGGCAGCTGAGTACGGGTTCGAATTGGCGAGAGTGGGAGGAGAAGGAGAAGAACAAGAAGAAGTGAAAGGGTGTTTGAGCAAGTTCATCGATGATGTCAGCGTTGAAAGTCACAGATACTACTTGTCTCGCAGAACCACTTTGGAAATGCTCAGAGACAGAGGCTACTCCATTCCCTCCAGCGAAATCGACCTTTCTCTCTCTCAATTCGGCCACATGCATGGTCATTCCCCTGACCCTGACCGTCTCCGCCTCTCCCTCACTCACGCCACCAACCCTTCCAAAAGGGTATCCTTTTCTTCATCTCTTCTCCACCCAACACGCCCCCTCTTATCTTTCTCCCTCAATTTCAATGTCTTCCCCTGAAATCTACTGAAAAAATCAATTTTTATATACTGGCAATGTATTTTTTACTACTTTATAGGTGTAAAGAATCTACTAATGTTTACTGAATGGTCATATCTCCTGGGTTCTTTCTTTTCGATCACTTTTTTTTTTCATCTGCATGACACATTTGATTTACCCTGTCTGACCGGACTTTTGGAGCAAAATTGATTTTGGATTAAATTCATTTTGTTAAGTTGGTCTTATTGATTTAATGAAGTTATTTATGTTTTGATGTTTAAGTCTGAAAGTGAGTACATGTTTCCTACCAATTTTTTTTGTAAATTGAGTTTGTCTTGGTGTTTTTTTCTACTCTTAAATTATGTTTGAGTATACAGAGAAAAAGTTATCTTTTTATCTGTGTCAAAACGAAGTTTAGGGACGGAATCGGTAACACCTGAAAATGACTGAGCAGTTGCATTTGTAGTAAAATCAGTTTCTTGATGATTGCAGATTTTAGTCATTTTCTGCGGGCCAGGTTCTGTGAAAGTTACTGCCATTCGGAACATTGCGGGGCAGATTGTTAATAGAGACACTTTGGGTGGTCTTATATTGATAGTGGAGAATCATGTTACTAGCCAGGCCTTGAAAGCCGTTGATCTTTTTCCCTTCAAGGTTGAAATTTTCCAGGTTTGTGATTCTATCTCAAATGTCTTTCATAAATGTTCTACAGATTGGTTTTCGATTTATTTGTTCTATCTTTAGGTGGATAATATAAAACTGCATGTTGTATTTCTAGCAAGATTGGTTGACACGGATTTTCTTTATTGACCTCTGTGCACTTAAAATAGTTGTGATTACCATGTTGAACAAACCTATGTCAGATGTTTCGTGGTGTTTGAATAATACTAATATTCACTTCAGTTATGCTCAGCTATCAGTTTAACTGTTTTGGACAAGGTTTTAAATTGCAGCCACCTTAGCACAACTATAATTTGTGGCTGGGATTGGATTGTGAACACCCCTAAAACCTTAACTTTGCTGCCAAGACTCTGGTTGTGACCCTCTTTCAAAAAAGCCTTTCTAGCTATTAAGTTGATAGTAAATTGAGTTTTGTGCATAAGTCCTAACTGTTAAGTGTGGCTGAACCATCACATTTCAGTAAGTTCATTCAGTTAATGGTTTCACAGCAGGAGGTTTCTCTGATTCTCTCCCCATTTTCACTCCTTTCTCTTGATATCTATCAGTTTCTCGCTGCATGTTGATTTATTGAAAGCTAAGAGCTTTTTCCTTAACCAGAAACCATGGCTTTCTCTCAAATCATAACTCACCTATGCTTTTGCTATCAATCTAACTAGGACACTCTGAAAGCTCAACACTCTCAACTACATTCTTTTACTTTTATGAATTTTACATGAACATAAATGGAAATACTGTGTACTATAATAAATAGATAAATGATAGTATTTATTTACTGATGCTAACTTTCAAATGATTGATTCTATCTCATAATTAAAAATTGTGCTCACGTGATTATTTTTTACTAACTTCATCATATGTTGTCATAATTTTGTCACTCTCACCGTTTTATGCATTTCTATGTTCATACTGTATTGGAGAACACGTCTATAATTTCATGAAGATGCAACTTAAAAATGGCCAGTACAATGTAAGTGGTAAAGAATAAGGTTCAGCAGGAAATTGTTCCTTTGTGGAAGTGAAAGATGAAGAAAGTGAAAATAATTCCTTGTACTCTTTGAAGTCAGAAATTGTATTAAAAGTGGTTAGTATGTTGGAGAACAGGTTATAAGTACTTGGCTAATTGAAGGCAGATTAGAAGCTTGGAAACTTCAGGATTCTATTTCTTAGTTCATTAGTAGGAGAGGTCCAATCATTACATGGCAGATGTAGCGAGACAATCTTCTCCATTTAAAAATTTCTTAATGTGATAGAAAGCTGTGCTATTTAAACTGTTATGATCATTTAACACATGTGTGTCAAGCATGAATATATATGTACTGAAGTCCCTGTTTGTTCAGTCTTCAAGTATATTTGATATTCTGTCACGCATAAACTGGGAGTTTGTCTACCTTTGGCATACCATTTTTTGCTAGAGGCAACATTGAGTTTAGTGATGCTTGCAAATTTTGAGTAACTATGGCATCTCATCCTGAATGGCTTCACTTTGTACCCATATTTGCTTCAGTTGTGATCCACCAAGCACTTGCACTTGTTATAACCAAGTTATTTTTTGAATAATACCTATAACATGAAAGATGTCTCTGTTATTTCATTTTTCTCTAATATGAAACTTATTGACTGATTTTCTTATCTGTGCTGACAAAAACTTCGTTTCTTGCCCAAAAACCCATGTAAATCTTTTTTCCTTGCTGTTCAGATCACAGATTTGCTTGTTAATATTACAAAGCATGTGTTGAAGCCAAAGCATCAGGTGCTGACTGATAGGCAGAAGAAAAATCTCCTGAAGAAGTTCAATATAGAAGAAAAGCAGGTCAGTTGATACAATTTGAAAAAGCCTATCGCAGACACGAACCTCGCCTTTCTGAATTGTCTATGCCCTGGATATGGACCCTTCTATTTAAGTTATTAATTTTTCTATGGTGCATCTTCAGTGAACTTGTGCAGTTTAGATTGAGTCATGTGTAGATAAAACGAAGTTGCATTTTGACATTACCCAATGAAACCAATTTCTGTTGGAGATCACATTGGTTTCACATTGAAATATGTAACTAAACTTTTACACTTTGATAATTGACTCAATTGATGCCTAGATATGTGCTACTTTGATGTGGTTTCTCAAGTAGTGGCCTGCTATAATGTTGTACTTAATCATGTTCTAGTAAATACAAATATAGATAAACATGGAAACTTTCTGTCACGGTAATTGTGAAAACCAATGCATGACCTTGAGTTGTAAACTCCATTGCATTTAGAAAGGGTGTTGTGCTAAGATCTGCTCAATCTTTAAGGACTTATCTAAGATATCCCTGCAAGTTCATGATACAGCAAGAACATTTTAGACAGGGCCGATGTGTGTCTGACCTCTGCGTATGGAATCAAAAGATCTGAAGAAGTCCGTTGCCAAAATAAATGATAAAAGGAAATAAAATGAATTTAATGAACCAAGGTCAGAAAATAGTATATAAGTTTTATTCTTGAAATGATGGAAACATGTTTGTTATGATTAAATGTGCTTAGCCATATGAAATACTGATATTTGTATTCATTCTTCTATAAAACATATACAAATTGTATTATATTCTATGGATCTTAAATTCTGTGTTATTTTCATAGTCGAACATAAATGTTAAGTTTTCTAGTTCTTAGCTTCTCCATGCGCTACCGATTGACGAAATTGCGTGATAATAATAGTCGAGAACATATCATAGTATAACTTTTGCATGAATGTAAAATTTCATATTCCAAGACAAGCACTCTTATATTAAGTTTTTGTGTTTTCAGCTTCCCCGCATGCTAAAGAGTGATGCAATTGCACGATATTATGGACTTGAGAGGGGCCAAGTAGTTAAAGTTACCTATAGTGGTGAAATCACCCAGATGCATGTCACATATCGATGTGTGTGGTGATAGTTTCTTGTGCTCTTTTGTATTTTTTCAGGTTGAATTCGTAGTATTTAACTGTTGTATCATGCTTAAGGTTATGATTGCATAAGTTGATCAATCCTAACGCTCTGAATCTGTACTCTGTAAATTTGGTGATGACATTTCTCTCTCTTAACTTCTTGAAGAACAACCTGCATTGAGCAACTTCATTCACAAACGTTTATTTTATTTATTTACATTTTTGTGAAATGGTGTTTGCAAATGACATTTCTGATCTCATCTTTTAGGATGATGCTTTGTTGACCGTATCCTTGTTAATCTCTTTCTGATCTCCACACACTCGGGCACACAGATGCCTCACTCCATTACACACACGATGCCACTCACTCACTCACAACTTCTGATAGAAGATCGTAGAAGATGTAGAAAAACTAAAGAATTTTTCATTAATATCTAAAAAAGATTTGAAAGGATCCCTCTTATACAACAATTCTCCGTTTTAAGGACATATTTAGGAAAAAACTAGAAAAAAGAAATCCTAACTCTAGAAATGGGTTATAACAATCCTACACCTTGCAGACTGGCCTCTAAGTTAAGAAATAAACACACTATACTTACAATTTATTTTGTTGTTAACCATGCCTTAGCAGCTTTATATATCCACATCAGCTGGCTGTGTATTATTTATGAAGAACATATGTCTCAGCTGCCTTTTTTTTTTGTCTCTAATAAATTTACTTATACTAAAAACTCCTTATGAACTAGGTGAAATGCTTATAAACGTACAAGTTCAGTCAAAAACACATTGATCTTGTAAAGTAACTTATAAAATTGAAAGTGTTTGATGAAATTAGATGATAACTTATAAAATAAAATGACATTTAATTATCTGAGGTAAAAAGATGTCTTAAATAAATTAGCAACAACAAAAGTAATAGAAAATAAAAGGTTATCATTTTAGCTTATTTTCCTAAATTAGTTAAAGTGACGTGAGAAAATAAATTAAAAACTATTAATATAAACTGTGGTGAAACTAATTTATTAATGGGCAAGGTTTCTATATGCTTACATAGGGGCTTCTTTATGCACCTTCAAGGTTTCTCCATGCACTTCCAAACTTTCTCTTAGTGCAAAAACTATCTTTCTGACGAGGGTAATTTTTTGNTGTTGATTTATTGAAAGCTAAGAGCTTTTTCCTTAACCAGAAACCATGGCTTTCTCTCAAATCATAACTCACCTATGCTTTTGCTATCAATCTAACTAGGACACTCTGAAAGCTCAACACTCTCAACTACATTCTTTTACTTTTATGAATTTTACATGAACATAAATGGAAATACTGTGTACTATAATAAATAGATAAATGATAGTATTTATTTACTGATGCTAACTTTCAAATGATTGATTCTATCTCATAATTAAAAATTGTGCTCACGTGATTATTTTTTACTAACTTCATCATATGTTGTCATAATTTTGTCACTCTCACCGTTTTATGCATTTCTATGTTCATACTGTATTGGAGAACACGTCTATAATTTCATGAAGATGCAACTTAAAAATGGCCAGTACAATGTAAGTGGTAAAGAATAAGGTTCAGCAGGAAATTGTTCCTTTGTGGAAGTGAAAGATGAAGAAAGTGAAAATAATTCCTTGTACTCTTTGAAGTCAGAAATTGTATTAAAAGTGGTTAGTATGTTGGAGAACAGGTTATAAGTACTTGGCTAATTGAAGGCAGATTAGAAGCTTGGAAACTTCAGGATTCTATTTCTTAGTTCATTAGTAGGAGAGGTCCAATCATTACATGGCAGATGTAGCGAGACAATCTTCTCCATTTAAAAATTTCTTAATGTGATAGAAAGCTGTGCTATTTAAACTGTTATGATCATTTAACACATGTGTGTCAAGCATGAATATATATGTACTGAAGTCCCTGTTTGTTCAGTCTTCAAGTATATTTGATATTCTGTCAAGCATAAACTGGGAGTTTGTCTACCTTTGGCATACCATTTTTTGCTAGAGGCAACATTGAGTTTAGTGATGCTTGCAAATTTTGAGTAACTATGGCATCTCATCCTGAATGGCTTCACTTTGTACCCATATTTGCTTCAGTTGTGATCCACCAAGCACTTGCACTTGTTATAACCAAGTTATTTTTTGAATAATACCTATAACATGAAAGATGTCTCTGTTATTTCATTTTTCTCTAATATGAAACTTATTGACTGATTTTCTTATCTGTGCTGACAAAAACTTCGTTTCTTGCCCAAAAACCCATGTAAATCTTTTTTCCTTGCTGTTCAGATCACAGATTTGCTTGTTAATATTACAAAGCATGTGTTGAAGCCAAAGCATCAGGTGCTGACTGATAGGCAGAAGAAAAATCTCCTGAAGAAGTTCAATATAGAAGAAAAGCAGGTCAGTTGATACAATTTGAAAAAGCCTATCACAGACACGAACCTCGACTTTCTGAATTGTCTATGCCCTGGATATGGACCCTTCTATTTAAGTTATTAATTTTTCTATGGTGCATCTTCAGTGAACTTGTGCAGTTTAGATTGAGTCATGTGTAGATAAAACGAAGTTGCATTTTGACATTACCCAATGAAACCAATTTCTGTTGGAGATCACATTGGTTTCACATTGAAATATGTAACTAAACTTTTACACTTTGATAATTGACTCAATTGATGCCTAGATATGTGCTACTTTGATGTGGTTTCTCAAGTAGTGGCCTGCTATAATGTTGTACTTAATCATGTTCTAGTAAATACAAATATAGATAAACATGGAAACTTTCTGTCACGGTAATTGTGAAAACCAATGCATGACCTTGAGTTGTAAACTCCATTGCATTTAGAAAGGGTGTTGTGCTAAGATCTGCTCAATCTTTAAGGACTTATCTAAGATATCCCTGCAAGTTCATGATACAGCAAGAACATTTTAGACAGGGCCGATGTGTGTCTGACCTCTGCGTATGGAATCAAAAGATCTGAAGAAGTCCGTTGCCAAAATAAATGATAAAAGGAAATAAAATGAATTTAATGAACCAAGGTCAGAAAATAGTATATAAGTTTTATTCTTGAAATGATGGAAACATGTTTGTTATGATTAAATGTGCTTAGCCATATGAAATACTGATATTTGTATTCATTCTTCTATAAAACATATACAAATTGTATTATATTCTATGGATCTTAAATTCTGTGTTATTTTCATAGTCGAACATAAATGTTAAGTTTTCTAGTTCTTAGCTTCTCCATGCGCTACCGATTGACGAAATTGCGTGATAATAATAGTCGAGAACATATCATAGTATAACTTTTGCATGAATGTAAAATTTCATATTCCAAGACAAGCACTCTTATATTAAGTTTTTGTGTTTTCAGCTTCCCCGCATGCTAAAGAGTGATGCAATTGCACGATATTATGGACTTGAGAGGGGCCAAGTAGTTAAAGTTACCTATAGTGGTGAAATCACCCAGATGCATGTCACATATCGATGTGTGTGGTGATAGTTTCTTGTGCTCTTTTGTATTTTTTCAGGTTGAATTCGTAGTATTTAACTGTTGTATCATGCTTAAGGTTATGATTGCATAAGTTGATCAATCCTAACGCTCTGAATCTGTACTCTGTAAATTTGGTGATGACATTTCTCTCTCTTAACTTCTTGAAGAACAACCTGCATTGAGCAACTTCATTCACAAACGTTTATTTTATTTATTTACATTTTTGTGAAATGGTGTTTGCAAATGACATTTCTGATCTCATCTTATAGGATGATGCTTTGTTGACCGTATCCTTGTTAATCTCTTTCTGATCTCCACACACTCGGGCACACAGATGCCTCACTCCATTACACACACGATGCCACTCACTCACTCACAACTTCTGATAGAAGATCGTAGAAGATGTAGAAAAACTAAAGAATTTTTCATTAATATCTAAAAAAGATTTGAAAGGATCCCTCTTATACAACAATTCTCCGTTTTAAGGACATATTTAGGAAAAAACTAGAAAAAAGAAATCCTAACTCTAGAAATGGGTTATAACAATCCTACACCTTGCAGACTGGCCTCTAAGTTAAGAAATAAACACACTATACTTACAATTTATTTTGTTGTTAACCATGCCTTAGCAGCTTTATATATCCACATCAGCTGGCTGTGTATTATTTATGAAGAACATATGTCTCAGCTGCCTTTTTTTTTTGTCTCTAATAAATTTACTTATACTAAAAACTCCTTATGAACTAGGTGAAATGCTTATAAACGTACAAGTTCAGTCAAAAACACATTGATCTTGTAAAGTAACTTATAAAATTGAAAGTGTTTGATGAAATTAGATGATAACTTATAAAATAAAATGACATTTAATTATCTGAGGTAAAAAGATGTCTTAAATAAATTAGCAACAACAAAAGTAATAGAAAATAAAAGGTTATCATTTTAGCTTATTTTCCTAAATTAGTTAAAGTGACGTGAGAAAATAAATTAAAAACTATTAATATAAACTGTGGTGAAACTAATTTATTAATGGGCAAGGTTTCTATATGCTTACATAGGGGCTTCTTTATGCACCTTCAAGGTTTCTCCATGCACTTCCAAACTTTCTCTTAGTGCAAAAACTATCTTTCTGACGAGGGTAATTTTTTGTTCTCTCCTATGATTATCCCATCACTCACTTTTTATTAACCTAAACCTATTGGTACCTCCTGTCTCCTTCGGCTGCTTTGTTCATATATACTCTGCTCCTGCACTAAATTTAGCCTTATTCCTCTCTTCCTCAATAAATTATTCTTGTTTCGTTATATTTGTTTGTAAATGTTTAATATAGTCTAGATGGAAGAAACAATAGGATGAAGCTTTTCATTTTCAAAATCTAATTAAGAGTTTGACTGGATTTCAAAAATCCGGTGTGTATCCATTAGTGTTTCAATTTTTGAAATTAAAATAAGTCAAAAGAACTTGAACATAAATTACATAAAATTTAGTAAAAGTATAAACTCTAATTTTATATTATTATTAAACATGTTATCAGAGTGTCACAGTACCATGAAAAAAATATTATTAATTTGAAAGTAGATCAATTATTATTAGAATGAAACATCCCATTTGAAATATAAAATAATTTATAAATAGTAAATATTAATAATAAATTATTTACTTTCAAATTAATGATAAAAATAATTCATGAATTAAAATACATAAATGTATTATATTAGTGTTCATTTGATTTCGAAATTTGGAAGAAGTGATTATCGGATGTAAGAGTATTTATCGGATTTTAAAATCCAACAATTTACTAAACTAGATTTCAAAATATATTGGGTTTCGAAATCTAATAAATTTTTTAATTAGATTTCAAAATCCGGTAAGTTTTTTAACAAGATTTCTAAATTTGATGAAATTTTAAATTAAATTTTGAAATTTAGTGAATTTCTTAAAACTGAATTTCAAAATTCGATATATACAAAGAAAAACTAGAAAAAAAAAAAGCGTAAAGAGGGGATGCATGGTTGAGTAAGTGTAAAGAACACAATAAATACATTTTGGTAAGTAGTATTATCGCTTACCTATTTTTTTTTTTATTTTATATGATTTTTTACTAAAGGACAAAACTATGAACTTGGAGGTGTAAGGAGAAACTCCCACATGGCTAAATGATTAAAAGTGAAAGCGAGAAATGAATGAAAGCCTAGATTTAGTTAATTAACTTAAAATGAGATTTTTTATTTTGTATGTTGTGTTTTTCTTCCTACACCATAGAAATGGTACTATTCAAACTATCTCTCATTGAAAATATAATAAAAATCTTTACATCTTATTTTTAATATTTTTTTGGATTGAATGTTTTGAAAGATATTTTTTTAATTTGACAAAGATATTTTGAAATAGACAACCCATGAGAAAGAAATTTCTAAAACGGATTTTTCAGAAATTATATTAATATTCCAAAACACCCATTTGAAATATAAAATAATTTCTAAAATAAATATTTCTAAAAATATTAAATACATTTTCAAAACACATGTATCCATTGTGAATTCCAAGGTTTATCTGAATTTGAAAATTATTACTTGGTAAGTTTCCATACCAAAACTCAATACAATTAAGTCCGTAGCGTCTACCAATTTCGTCATATCCCCATTTTTTTTATTTGAATCTGATTATAATAGAATGTTTTTTTTTCATTTTTATTATAAGAATTATGCGAGAACTTTTGAATTCATTAAATACATATTATTATATTAAATATTAAATTAAATATTAAAAACCCTTTTCTCCAATTTTATAGATTTGATTTCATCTATATTGGATACCTTTATTTGTTTGAATCAGAACTAATTCTAATATCTATACATTAACAATTCAATATACACAGATATAGACCACATATCTACTTATCTTCTATTTACCTCCTTGGATAAAATCTGTTTTATAGTCAGAAATAACTATTATAAAGTATTTTCAGATGTGGAAATACTTCCAAAACACTCAATCAAGGTTTCTTTAAGTAACCAAAGAGCTTTTTTCTTCTTCTTCGAAGTTCCCTTATCCTTCAATCTTATACCATACATAAGTTATTGGCAGCGTTGATTCTATAAATAAAATAAGTATTCTTCAAGGACTCATACTCACTGTACTCATAAAAATCAATAATTTTCTTACCAACTTGAGAGTCAGATAATCTTTCTCAAAGTTACTATTAGGATCTTTCCATTTATCCACAAATCCACGCTCAAAATTCTAATAAGACCATGTGGCCCTGGTAAAACGTTTCTCTAGCCCTCACCTCCCTATGGTCGCCACTTCAAGGTCTGTCCAAATCTCCCACGAGATGAAAGTAAACCAAGTGGCGACCCTCCACCAACAACTACAGACGCATATACAACAGCATAACGAACAACGCAGGCAGCACGAGACCGAGCTTGAGGCATTACGTGCTCAACAAAAAATCGACTTGGAAGAACTTCAATAGAGGCAGATTGACTTGAAGAATGAGAGGTCATCTCATCGACCTCAGCGTAACCCCACTAAGAGGACCCCTGCAATTCTCGGACAAGGCACAACCTGCCAACTCGAGGAGGTTCGCAAGAAATCTAAAACCATAACCCACTAGTTCAACAAGATTCACAAGGAAGTCGAGACTGTAGCCCGCCAACTCGGCGAGGTTCACATAGGATCCAAGACTACTCTTCTCAATGCCAGGCTCATGGAGACCGAAGAAGGTCAGTAATCATAGAGCAGTAGGAACTCATGGACGATCTCGTCACTTCAACCGCAACCGATGTCGGACTTGAGGAAACTGAAGCAGCTCAACTTGACATCGAAGGAAAGAAACCCATAGTTGCTCCTTTCACTCTAAATGGGAGCCCAATAGATGTAGATATCGTAGACAAAATGCGAAATCAGTGTTGTCCTAGGATTCTACAAGGCACCCCAACAGGAAGATAGGTCGGCAAGAACGCCGGGCTGCTCGGATACACACCAAGGATTCTTAAAATAGGACCGACCACGTTAGAAACTTCTATCCTTTCATGAGTGAAGTGGCCTGTGCTTAGATCCCCAAGGGAATCATTATCAATATTCGAAAGTAAGACGGAAAAGTCAACCAGACAACACATCTAAAGGCTTACTAAATGAAAGTTAACATCCATACTAACCATGAACGAGTTTTCTATAGGTTATTTCCAACAGCCTTGGTCGGACTGGCTTGAGATTGGTACTATACGCTAGCCCTGTGCTCGATTGACTCTTTTGAAACATTAAGCATGTTGTTTATGGCCCGTTTCATGAATCGCAAAAAGATTCCACCACAATGACAATCCTAAAAAAAGTGGAGCAAGGTGAAAGCAAAACGCTCCGATAATTCATGGATAGGTTCACCAAAACGAAGATAATAATCTCAGATCTCAACCCGATTGTGGTCATGCACTCATTGGTATATGGTATACAACTTAGACCCTTCCTAGATTCTCTCTATATGGAGAGCCTAAAAAGTCTGGACGAGCTCAGGGAACGAGCGACCAAGTACATGGCCATTGAAGAAAACAAATTGAAGAGAGCAAAAAAGCCCAACGCCCAGGCTAGGAAGAGCAAGAGACTACAACCTGGTACGAACATTGCACTCCCCTGAATGTGAGTAGGTATACCATACTTAGAGAAGTGTGCAACTTAGAGCTTATCCAGCTCCCCGATCCCCAACAAACTTCTCCCAAGGACGACCCTACTAAAATGTGTTCCTACCATCAGAGAATAGGACACAACATTGAGGAATGTCGGATATCATTGAAGATTTGATTCGCTTAGAAGCTATATCTCGATTCATCCAACAAGGAAACAATCAACGAGGTTAAGGACACAACAACTACCCAGGTCGAGATAAGGGAGTTTCGTTGGACGGGATTGAGGACAGTGAGAGCAACCCAACATGATCCTCTAGGTTCCAAGGCCCGATCGAGGCTACCCAAGACCAGCAACCCAATATAGTGCAATCAGACATATCGAGCCAAATCGTCCAACTCAACCTGGCCCAAGCAAAAGGAAACATCCATACCATTATTGAAAGTTTCACACGAGAAAGAAACTCCTGTACAGGAAAAAATATTAGAGAACTATAAACTTGCTTACCACTCATAACCTTCTTCAATGAATATTTCTCTTTGAACAATCCAGACCAGAACGACTAAGTG